TTGCATTCCGTCAGTTGTCACAAGTCTTATTTGTCGTGGGGGAACTGTCCGTGTGAGTCACACGGTGGTTCAGGGGCTGTTTAGAATTTTTGCCTCCGAAACGCCCTTTTTCGACTAAGTTTAGGGCTATGTTGTACACTTTCTTGCCCATATGTGAAAACGGGCCATGCAGTAATCAGACAATTATGTTCTGACATGAAAATAGATACAACTATGGATTAAGATACGATATTGTCAACTGTTGCAATAGCAAGGGGTAGTCGGTTCTTAAACTTTCAAACACATTATGGATCAGTCTATGGATAGAGGAGCGAGTTAGTAACACTCCGTTTGTTTGGGCGAAAAACATTTTTTGAAAAATGTTTTCCACATTTTTTGGTGTTTGGTACAATAAAAAAAATGAAAGTCGACAAAAAATGTTTTTCATGGTCAAGAAAAACAAGCTTATTTAGGCAAAAATTATTTTTCAATTTTGAAAGAAGGAAAACATTTTTTTCGAACTAAAGTCTTTCCCAGAAATGTCCCAGCAACATTAAAGAGAAGAAAGAGGTTTCAAATTATTTTTTTATTTTCTTTTTATTCTATCCATACATATATATACATTTTAATTATACTATTAGAACGCACACTTATATTTTCTAAACTAACTAAGCTTCCGTTTGGGAAGTGGATTGATTTTTTGACTTTTTGATTTTTTTGACTATTTTAACCTGGGCTTTAAAGCTTGGTTTGGGAAGGACTTTTTAGTTTTTTGATTTTTTAAAGTTTTTTTATGAGAGAAGAATGTAATGATTATGGATTAGATGTGATGTTTTGTTTGTTATGACTAAAATAACTGATTTTATTTTTTATGGCTAAAATAGTCAAAAAAGCCCAAACCATGATCTCCCAAACGAACACATAAGTAGATTCTATTTTTCACATTTTTTATCACATAACTCTTCAACACACTTTTTTAACTCCACCATAAAAATGCTCTTAGAATAATTTTATACTACCAGTTTCTCTTCTTTTTCCCTTTCAGTTATTGGATTTTTCTTGGTGACAACAGGATGCTTATAAATTTGCCAGAAATTTGTTCAAGTAAAAACCATTTTATCCCATGGAAAAGGCAAATAAATAGGTGAGATTCCTATTTCAATTTTCAGCCAAGCTCAAATTAAAAAAAGCCACCATGCCCCCAATTTATTTTTTAAGGTGATTTCGGGTATTGTATTATTAGCAAACTTAAAGCTAATTGGATTATTTCACGTATGCATTTCGTGATCCGCACCAGTCGAGAGATTGCCTTCGTCAAAGAAAACAAAGAAGCCACCATACGCCATTTTCATTTCTAAGGTGCTACAATTGTGCATCAATATAACAATTATATAACAACAGGGGATGACAATGAGCATAAAATGAGCCAACAAGTTTCTCTCTACACAGCCTGTAAAAGAAACGATCAATCAAAATAATTATCAAAATTGGAAAAGTAGTCAAAAAACATTTTCCAAATAAATACAAAATTATTAAAACAAAATAACTCCTCGTCAATCATAGTGTGTCGATCAAATCAAAAAGATTGAGACAACGCATGAACTACCTATCTGTTGACTCCTTGTCATGGCTCATTCCTTCAGGAGAGTCCACACTCCAGCGTTAGCTAATGACAGTAAATTTGCAGCATTCTCCATTCCTCTTCACTCTCCCTTTTCCAATATTGATCGTCAAACCGGCATTCAATGGGGTCATAAACAACCATTTCTGGGAAAAGCTCCCAGATTGTCTCATTTCATTGCATATGTCCATTGCCTTTGAGGGCAAGCCACTATCCAAGAAAGCCCTAATAATGTCGCCAAAGGTATGCTGGTCATAAAGAACTTTTCTCTTCAGATCTTCCCACACCTGTTTTGCTTCATCTGCTATCTTGTTCCTTGCAAGCATCATCATAAGCATATCTCTGAAGAAGCACATGTCGGGTGAGTACCATATTTGTTTACACACCAGTGTATATAACTGCAGAATTAGATATAAATGTCAAAAGCAGCAAATATTTTTTTGTGGGTTCAGTTTTACTAGAATCTTAACTTGAAACCGCTGTGAAATAGTAACTGTGATTTTCATTCTCAACACAATCCTTTCCTGTACCGCTTGGCCTCAACTTTAATACTTTAATAGCTGTTGTCCAGAAAACTCAAGCGAGCTTCTCTACAATTTCAGCAATCTGTTGCTTTGGAAATCAAACCAAATTCAAATCTATTCGTCTACAAACCTTCCAGCCTATTGAACCCTAAACCTAAACCTACAACCTTTCCTTGCCCTAAACCCGCCAACAAATCCAATCATAGGCAGCAATATCCCATATTTTCAGATTTATTATTATGATTAATTTTTTAAAAAAGGTCTAAAATCATATGAAATAATAGTAAATAATGACAAAGCTGTTCTTCATTGATTAATTTTGTGCGTCAAAAGTGATCCTTAATAGAAACCTGTTGGAAATTCCACCAGAAATTTGTAAATAAAGTACACTGCAACAAAAGTAAATTAAAATTCACTTAAAACAGAAACTCACGCATGGAAAATAGGAGACAAGACACAATATGGAATCTACAAGGACTTTTCATATGAACTATATCAAGAAACATTTAACTGAAGCTCAGGATTATTTTTTCTTTCTATTTTTATTTACAAGAAGCTCATAGTTTATTTTTAAGCAACTCAATGCCCAAACCTGCTTCTGAAACTTCACTTTGTTAAAATCTTTAGCCTATGATTCCTCTAAAAAGCATCATGCACTACTAGAAAAGAGAGCTTTAGACACGGAACTTTTTGCAACGGTTTAAAAATGGTTGCAAAAAAATAGGCTTTTGCGACGGTAAGTGACTGTTGCCAAAAAAGATACTGGATAAATACAATTATTAGAGACGAATAACCTAAAACCGTTGCAAAAGATTTTATTTTTTTTGCATTTTTGTTAATTTGCGACGGCCTTTCAAACCATCGCAAAAACTTAATCCCCTAAGTTTCCACTTTCGCGCCTCTCTCTCTCTCTCCCTCTATCGCGCATGTCCCTAATATTTCAGTTCTCTCTCGAGCCTAGCCCTAATTTCACTGTGTCTCTCTCACGCCCAACCTTCACTCTCTCTCTCTCTCTCTCTCGCAACGACAACTGCACCAGCATGGGCAAATCTCCGGCATCCAGGTAACCCTCCTCTCCTCTCCCTAAGCGCCTGTCCCTAATATTTCAATTCTCTCTTGAGCCCAGCCCTAATTCCACTGTCTCTCTCTCACGCCCAGCCTTCACTCTCTCTCTCTCTCTCGCAACGATAATAGCACCGACATTGGCAAATCTCCGGCATCCAGGTAACCCTCTTCTCTTCTCCTCTCCTTCCCCTAATATATCAGTCTTCTCTCTCGTGCCTAGGGTTTAGGATTGTGTCTGAGCCCTTCTGTTTTGGACATTAGGGTTATGGCAAAATCATTGTACCGTCTAAAGGATGAAGATGATTTTCCACCTTTGTCAAATTGATTGTGGAGGGAAGGGAAGGGAAGGGATGCTCTATTTACATCGGCATAGTAAGTACGGATAGAACAGGATCTACTAACAAACCAGCCTAATCCTGAGCTTTCTGCCATTGCGGCTCTTCTTAAATTACTTTACATTGAGTGATTGTCTATACAGTCTCTCTCTCTCTCTCTAAATATATTGGGAAGTAGGTCTCCGATCTTCCCAATCTCTCCCTCTCTCTCTCTACATTTATTGCAGATTGTTTTCACACAGTCTATTCAACTTCCTTCTTTGTCTTCGATCGTCTCAAAAGTTAATTAAACAAATTCATACATTTCTTTCGTTTTTTCTTAAGATCCTGTTCTCCTTGAGTATCTAAAATGTTATGATTTCTCATTGATTTTGATGTTAGTCACTACTGCTTGTGCCTTTGCTAGTTCAATTTCTCATTTGTAGCCTTTCAAGTTCTATTGAATTTGAGTAGAAGTGGAGCTTTGATATCAATACATGTTGATCTACTGTTTTGCTAAGCTAATTCTGAGGAATTCTGTTGAATCCCACAGGAATTTATTGGGTTTTTGTTTTTATTCCATAAATTCAATCAAGGCACTACATTGTGCTTCTAGTTGGGTTTTAATAGTGTTTAATTATCATAATTAGTGTAGATGAATCCGGTAACAAGTTGTTTTGAGGTGGTTTATAGATCAGTTGCTTGTGACATTCTTGGTATGTTTGTAATTTAGATTTGATCTGAAGCTATTCATGTGTGTTTGGATTGATTCCCATTCTTTTGAGGAATGTATTGAGGTTTGTTTGCTTTGAAGTGATTTTAATTCAATTGGTGTTGATTTATGGACAAATTGGTAAGCACAAATTTGTTTGTTTGTTTTTTTTTTTGGGTCCCAAAATTTGATGGTGTTTTGCAGGAGGCTTTATTCTTGTGACTGTGTTTTGAAGGCAGATCTGAAGATCTCAAATCATCAGCAAAGCTGGCGGCGACACTAGCTTGGAGGTTTGTTCCCAACAATGGCAGCAGCCTTGCCACTAATGGTCTGGTACTTATGTGCTTATTTCTATGTACAATAAACGATTGGTTTGCCTTTTTGAGACTTGAATTTTGGAGCAATTTGGGTAATAGTGGATATATTTTGCATTCTTACACAGCATGCTGTATCACTTTTATGTTATTACTCTTTTGGCTTCCTATTTTCGTGATTAGAATCTTTAGGGTGGTCAGCATCCTTTTTTTGATGTATAATTATGTTGATAACATTTTCTTTGCTTCTATATCTAGTGGTGACCACAACTATCTCATTCTTTTTATTTCATGAGAGAAATAGGGATGCTAAACATCATGATTCAGAGCTGCCAACTCCGCATTCACTTAAGCTGTAGTATTTTCTTAACAGGTTGAAACAGGTAATCTTCAAGATGCAACTTTTCTTAATGTTGTAGCGAAGGTAAATAATTTTATTGATATATAGTACTCATAATTTATTTATTTATGTTCCCTTATGTTATTTACAATTTTCCACTATAGAGTAAAAAAAGTTACTGATCAGATTACTTGAATAAACAAATTGAAGCTATATATTGGGCAGAGTGTCTTTATAATATATTGAAGGGATACAAAAGAAAGTGCTGTCAACTAATGGGATAAGGATTTATTTTATTTATTATAAAATATTTTGGCTCAAATGATAGAAGAGTAACTTTCCTATTTGTCTACCCATTTTTGAGAATTCTCAACCTTTACAATCTGAGATAATTTGGGCCAACCAGACCAGCTCCATAGCACTTAAATAAAAAACTCAATAATTCAGTCAATTCACATTCAATTCCACAAGTCATTCTTTGATAAATCAGATTTATGTTTGTTCTGTTTTTTATTTGATTCAATTTAGGGAATACATGCTTCTTATAAATTTCACTTGTTATCACTTGAATAAATTGTTTAACAGCCTTTTTCTTTTTTGATTTTTGTATCAGGGTTTGCTCCTTGTTCTTTGACCTTTATCACAACGATTTAATTGATATTATTGTTTTGCTTTTGCTTTATTATTATGACTAAGCCTTCTGATTTCATTGTTTTTATTGAATAGAGTCCAGTCATCAAACTGAGATTTCCGACTCTAAAGCAGGTATGGAGCTTCTTGACGTCATTCTAACCAAGGTATATATATCTACCGACGAATATTTTGAAGCAGAGACAGCGATGCTTGGCCAGGTAAATAATGCACTTGATGTGATGAAACTACAGGATGGTTTTTCCCAGACCTAGGATTGAATGATGTATTTGCTTTGTTTGCTGAAAAGCCTTATTTCACCGTAACTACTTTGTTTATGATGATTGTGCCTGTTTTGTATGTAGCCACTTCCTTGCTTATATGCTATTGAAGCATCTGATGAGGCATCACTCCGTGACACATGCTTATTATATATGGTCAATATTGCAGCTTATGGACGCATAAGCTTTAAGTTAAATTTTCCTGGATTCTGTATTGCATTTAGTGGAGCTTAATTATCAATGATATTCCCTTTCACTTCTGTATGGCAATAGCTGCTGGACTTGTTTCTTGGCCATGCCTCTTCCAATGGGATAGGGCCAGGAATTTTTTTTTAAAGCCTAGCTGGGTTCAGTATCCTACTTTGATGTTATTTCTATGATGAGCTTGTTTCTTATACTTCTTTGTTCTAATAAAATAATATACTGTAGGGACTCTGCCGGCCCATTTAACTGTTTAGACTAACTTTTAATTGCACCAGGTTCTTCAAACAAACACTTTTGATAATTAGTGCATTGAGGAGTTCTGCATTTTGGCTTTCTTTTTTTTTTTTTTTTTTTAACAACAACGAAATATAATTTATTAAAGAAGAAAGAAAGGAGGACGAGAAATCCTCATACAGAGAAAAGAACATGATGAAAGTAAAACACAGCCATCATAAAAAGAGAAAACAAGCAAACCCAAACCCTAAGGGTTACAAATAGCAGCCCAATCCCTAGAAATCAAGAAAAGAGGGATTCCCCTAAAAGGAGGAGACACAAATGCCCAAAAAGATGCCAAAAATCCAGCCCTATCCCACAACGAATCTGCATCAGCCTCCTTTCCATCAAAGATCCGTGCATTTCTCTCCAGCCATATGATCCAGAAAATAGCACAAACAATACAAGACCACAATGACTTGGCTCGCTTAGATCCGCCGAACCCATCAAACTTAACAAGAAGCATATGTGTGCAATCCCGTGGAGCAACCCAGTTAACATCACACAAACCAAATAGACACTGCCATAACTGAATAGCTACACAAACCAAATATCAGCTCTTCAGGGGTTTTTTCTTGTAAATCCTTGTTTGACAATCTCATTGATAAGTCATCCGTTCCTCTGTTTCCTCTTCACATGAGAATTTGGAAAGCGGGTGTTCCTCATAAAGTAAAGTTTTTCATGTGGTCCTTAGCTCATAAAGGTGTTATGACCAACGATCTATTCCAAAGGAGAAGGCCAAACCACCATCTTTGCCCTCAATGGTGTGTGATGTGCAAGAGGAGTTCGGAATCAGCGGATCACCTTTTTCTTCATTGTTCTGTAGCTGCATTTTGGCTTTCTAATGCTATATTTTTCACAATGACAGCCAATGAGTATGCTATATTTTTCTAATGCTATACTTTGAGTTTGTAAATAAAATTGAGCATTCTCACTGTCTTTCTTCTCACATATTGCAGGATTCTCATGTTGATTGACAAATGCCCATCTAATTTATTTATGGTCTTCTTCCACAGACATTGTAATTGAACGATTTAGAAGCATTATATATACATATATATATTTTTTGATTGATGGATACTTGTACTAAAGCATATTTTTTATGGTTTTACAGGGTAGTTATGATGTTGACCAATCTCCAATTCTTCTCGGTGCCATCTTTAGTTTTTTGCTTTTTTCTAATTTTTGCTTTGATCACATTAGAGGCTGTTTATCTTATTTACCATCTTTGAATTTATTTATTTTTTTGTAAAATTTTGCTTTCTATACTGATTATGGTCTGGGAATTGAGAGCTTTCTACCAGCCGTTAACTCTGTTTTTCCTTTTCAATTTTGTTACGGGAGTTAGTATTCTAGGGAATGTACAACACATGTATATATATATATTATATTTCTATTTTTATAATTTTTTTAAAATATTTTTGTTCTTATTAAAATTCTAGGTTCTGAAATGCGGGTGGAGTTGAATGCTGTGTAGTGGCTAGTAAATGACATTTAATTGGAAGCATATCATTTTCGTAGATTGTTAGTTGCTGCTTTTCTGTTTAGTTCCTTGGCTCAATTTATCCATCGATGGTTCGGTTTTTAGTAGTGTTGGCTGCAGCTATGGATGATTTTCAGAATCTCCGCATCCAGGTTAGTTCTTTTGGTGCTTTGACAATTGTAAATTTTAGATGGTTACAATTGATTTTCTATCTTGTCCTTAGTCCTGCAAATATCAATTGCATTAGTAAATCTGGTTTATGCATTTGTTGAGCCACTTTTAGGTATTTTGCTTTTACTTTTTACTTATATTTTCTACTTTCAAGGATTCATATTGACGAGTTTGGTAGTCCTTGATATATTCTCCGGTTCGGATTTTATGTTTTTTTTATATCAATTATTATGGATCAATGTGATTTTGGTAGTTCACCATTGTTTTGGCAATATAAATTAACAAACTCCGAAATACTTCTATAAGCAATGGTGAGGGTTTCATTCGAAAAAACTTCCTCGAGAGCCAAAACCTTGAGGTACTTGAGATCAATTTTTTTCCTATAAATGGGTATCCACACTACCAAATATTTGCATCAAATGGCTGAAAATAACTTAGATTCCAAATCAATAGTTATTTTCCGACTTCCAAATCGATAGTTATTTTCCGACTTCCAAATCGAAAAGTTACAGCAAAAACTATGTGAGACAGATTGGGTGAAATAGAAGCGTGTCATGAGCCTAAGGGAAAATGGTTAGAGTTCTGCTAAATGTAGATAAAAAATGTTGCTGTTTGGAAAAAAATGTTTTTAGAGTTGCAGCCAAACATTGAAAAACAAAATAAATGTAAATTATTTTACATGGAATTATTTTCGCAATAAATTATTTCACGTCAAAACAAATGGAGCTTGAAACAAATAGAAGTTTCCCTTAATTATGTTGTAAATGATGATTTTTTTTTTTTTGCTTCTTTTTGCAGATTCAATCCTTTTGAGCACGCGATGATATCTTCGCATATCGATATTGGAGCTTACTGATGGAATCAAAACAAGCTATAATATATGTGTTTTTTTTTTACTTGTATTGTCGATACTTTTGTTTGTTTTAGATACAAAAATTTGAGTTCTTGAATATAAAAAATTATTAGTATTGTTGGAAGATGTTTTATATATTTTTGTAAAGAATATTTGGTTGACAATTGTTACAGGGTACATATATATTATTCTTGGTATGATTTTGTGAATGTGAATGTGGATGTATTTTATTTTAGAAAATATTAATAATTTGTACAGGGAATTAATTAATAAATTATATATTTGATTCATGAAAATAATTTTATTGCGACAATAATAAACCGTCGCTAAAGTAATCATCATTTCCTTACATTTTATTAGCGACAGGTTAACCTATTGCACATGCATATTAGTTCAAATTTTTAGCGACGGTTTAAATTGTCGTAAATATGATATTAATTTAACTATATTTTTTTGGCGACATTTTAGACCGTCGCTAATAATACTTTTCGTGACGTTAAATACTGTTGCTAAAAAAGTTTTGGCTACGGCTACCAACATCGTCACTAAAAGTGAAGTTTTTTTTCCCTTTTTGTGTCAGGTTAAACCGTCGCAAAAACCATTGATTAGCCGTCGCTACAAGAAAGCGACGGTTTGTAACCGTCGCAAATACTTTTTGTCACGTCCCCTTCCGCCACCCCCCATTTTCCGTCGCTATTCCGCCGCAAAAGACTTTTGCGACGATATGTGAACCTTTTGCGACGTTTGAGACCGTCGCAAAAGGTTCGGTTTTTAGTAGTGATATATGAAGCAAATAAATTTCCTTTCTATAATAAGTGGAAATGTTCGCTTAACACATTCAGGAATTCTACAATCCTCCTTCTACTCCTCCTTCATAACCCACATCCCATACAATTAAAACATGAACAGTAAAACATGTTGTTGGACTCCAAAGTCAACATTTTCATTAATGCAGAACAAGAACAGCATTTTTATTGCCATGTCTCACAATAAATTATCAAACTCTTGACATAGACATAGTCCTACATCAAAATTAAATTTTCTCAAAAAGTCTAGAAAAAGAGAGCAAAGATGTCACTTTCTGGCAGGTGGCTGATCGTCTATAAGCTATTCGATAGATCAATCTGCTAAGATAAATTTCAGGAGACAAACCTGGGATCCATAGTTTCTTCGTTTGCTGGTCATACAATTGTACTTGGTTGACAAGGGCTATGCTGTACTCTTTCTTCCCCATATGTGAAGACAGGCCATGCAGTAATCAGATAATTATGTTCTGACATGAAAATAGATACAACTATGGATTAAGGTACAATACTGTCAACTTCTGCAATAGCAAGGGGTAGTCGGTTCTTAAACTTTCAAACACATTATGGATCAGTCTATGGATAGAGGAGCGAGTTAGTAACACTCCGTTTGTTTGGGCGAAAAACATTTTTTGAAAAATGTTTTCCACATTTTTTGGTGTTTGGTACAATAAAAAAAATGAAAGTCGACAAAAAATGTTTTTCATGGTCAAGAAAAACAAGCTTATTTAGGCAAAAATTATTTTTCAATTTTGAAAGAAGGAAAACATTTTTTTCGAACTAAAGTCTTACCAATGCCACCACACCACCACCGCTGCTACCTCCACCCCACCAACACCAACAACACCTCCGCCACCACCCCAACAACACCTCCACCATGCCACCACCACCATTCCCACTAACCTGCCGCTGCCGGCATCACCCCACCACCATTAATACAACTACTGGTACATTAGTTTTAGGGACGCAACCAAACATAGAAATTTTTTTTATAATGTTTTCCGTCGAAAAATGTTTTCTACTGAAACAAACAAAGCAGAAGTTTCTTTTCCTATTCCAAAACTTGATACAAGCAAGAAAAACTTTCCAAGTAATAGACTGTTCCAAAAGAGATCTTTTCTACATGGTTAATAGGCTATTTCATTAGAAACAAGTAATACTATACCCCTTGAGAAAGTTTTGCAGAATTCAAATAAAATACAAAACTTACTTAAGCAAGCAGCATATGACAAAGGCATCTGCAACCGTTCCTTGCAATAAATAAGAAAGAATGTCAAGCTGCACTTAATTGAAGCTCAGGGTGTAACTTTTGGAGTTTTACCAGTAATTCATTGCATGTAATGCTTAATCCTTCGGAAGGTTGTTGGGAAAAACTTGGTAAAAGCTCCATTATATTGAGATCTTCAGAGATATGACAGATACATTCCAAGATAGTCGAAGTTATTTCTGAGTCAAGAACAACACCCTTAGCAGCCATTTTACGAAGCAAGTTAATGAATTCCTCTTTTTCTCCCCTCGAACAAAAGCCCTTCAGTAGAGAATCATATACAAAGGCATCCGGAGTAAAGCCGCAAGCAATCATTCTCTCAAAAACACTTTTCGCATCCTCCAACTGGCCTAGTTTGCAAAACCGATTTATTAATACGGAAAAGGTCAGAGCATCGGGGGCCAAACCCCTTTGATGCATATCCATGAGTAATTGTTTGGCAGATTGAATATCCCCTGCTTTGAGAGTTCCATTAATTATTGTATTAAATGAGGCAACATCAGGTTCACAGTTTGTGCTCTTCATTTCGTGAAACAGCCTTTTCGCTTGCTCCAAACTGCTGTCCTTGCATAGAGTTGCCATCAATGTATTGTAATCAAACAAGGTAGGGTTATGCCCATAAGCTCTCATTTGAATAAAAAAGCCTTTTGCAATATTAACCAAATGCAATTTGCAGAACCCATTAATTGTAACACTATAAGTAAATGAATCCGGAACCAATCCCAATTGGAGCACCTGTTTCCAAAGCCCCATAGCCTTTTCAACATTTCCGGCCTTTAGACAAGCCCCAATCAGCATGTTATAAGGTACCATATTTGTGATACTCCTACTCTCAACCATCTTACGATGAATCTCTAAAGCTTCATCGAGACGGCCTTGTTTGCAAAGTCCTTGGATTAGCACACTCAACTTCCAACCCTCCAGTTCAACAATGTTCTGGTCCTGCAACATCAAATCAAAAAACACCATCACCTTATCAGCCTTCCCATTTGCATAAAATCCGCTAGCTAAATTGGTGTAAATAACCACATCAGGTTTCTTGCCCTTTGCCATCATCAATTCCAAAATCCTAAAACCATCCATTACCAACCCTGCCTTGCATAGTCCACAAATTAAAACATTGTAGGTCATAATACTCGGCTCTTCACCCTTTTCTAGCATCAAATTGAACAACTCCACAGCCTTTGTGGCCCTCCCATCTTTACAAAGCCCATCAATTAAACCCGTGTAAGTAACCGCGTCAGGACGAATCCCTCTTTCAGTCATTTCATCGAACACTTGTGTTGCCTCTTTCCATTGCCCTATCTTACAAAGCCCATTAATCAAACAAGTATATGTGATCACATTGGGTGAAATTCCTTTCCCCAACATCTCATCAAAAAGTTCTTTCCCTCTAATAACATAATCATCATCATCATCATTCCCTTTGTGGCAAAACCCACTAATCAATGTACCATAGACGACAACATCTGCATCAATTCCCTTCACTCTCATCTCCTCCAACAATCCCATTGCTTCATTCACTCTACCCACTTTACACAAACCATCCATTAGAGTACTGTAAGTAACCAAACTGGGGATACAATTCACCCCCTCCATTTCACCCCTCAAATCCATAGCTTCTTCCAATTTCTTCACTTTGCAAAGCCCATTTATCAGAGTGTTAAAACTAACCACATCAGGTGACAAACAATTTCTACCCAATTCGCGAAAAAGCTCCATTGCCTTAAAAACCTCGCCTTTTCGACACAAACCCTTCAATAAAACATTAACAACGTATGTATTAGCACTAAACCCACGTTTAATTAACAGCCCTAAAACTCCAATACCAAATTCAGGCTTGTAGGCATGAACAAAGCACTCAATCACAGCAGTCAATGTTAGAAAAGAGGAGGAAACTTCAACGCGGGTCATCAAGGCATAGACTTTGAGAGCTGAATTGTACTGTTTGGACTTTGTGAGGAGGGTAACTAGGAAATTGCAGGTAGACCCAGATGGGATGAGACTGGAATTGATGGATTGGGTGAAAAGAGAGACCGCATCGGTGAATTGAGAAGTGGGTTCTTCGCAGAGTGACCTTAGTTTGGTTTCTACGTCGGTTATGGCAAGTGAAGTGGAAGTGGTTGAAGAGAAGAGATTGATGAAGGTGTTACGGTGAAGGGATTGAGTTTGAGAGAACGATTGAAGGTGAGGAATGAAGAGAGACTTCTTCATCATCGTCTTTTGATACACAACAATGTCTCTGAAACCTCCCCTGTGTGTGCGTCCGCGCGCGTGTTTTTGATACACGCCTCCTTCCTCCCCTCCTCCCTCCGCAGCCCACACAATCTCACTAAGGCCCTGTTTGGCAAACTCACAGTTATTTTTTCACCTACAAAAAAGTAGAGAGGTGTGCGATTAAAAAAAAACACTTAAAAAATTAATTTTTAACCAACTTTTAAATGGAACAATTTAATTTAGATACTTTTAATTTTGTTATTTTCATTTAAGTTAGAGATTAAAATTAAATGATTTTGGAACACCTCCCTTAAGAGGTACACATGAAAAACAAATGTTAAAAAAAATAATCAATTTCAAAATTTAATTTAAAGTATAATGATCAAATTATTCAGTTTGAATCTACGAGGACCGAGTAAAATTTACTTTTGGCTGAAAATTTTAGAAAGAATTATAATTCAGTTATTTTAAAAAAAATCAAATAATTAGTAGGGTTTATAAATATTAATAATTAAATTAATAAAATTGTCTACTGATCTATAAATATTTTATAAAAAAGTATGTAAATTTTCCAAAAATTTAAGAACTCACTCAAATTTTCAATTAAAAAAAATTAACCATTGCCACGTGTAAGCTTTTCAGATTAAAAATAAAAAATAATTATCAAACTCTGCCTAATAATTTGATCATCGTCAAGTGGGTGATTGTGATTATTTTTTTAGTAAATTTTTTTCATGTTTAGTAAATATTTTTTTCATTTTAAAAAAATTGATACTTGTAAATTATATTTGACTAAGATGAGTTAGAAAAGTACAAAAGATATTGAAAAAAATCACTAAAAAAAGTAAGAAGTAAAACATAATTGATTTTTAAAAATATTTTAGCCTTTTAAAATTTTTTGTAATTGTGAAATTAATTTACATTAAATGGACGGAAAAAAGTATAAAAATCGTTAGACACAAGTTAAAGACAATTTTTTCTTTTTTTTTTTAAAAAGACTTTTTAAAAATGTCGAACGAGGCTTAAGAATATGTAAATGTTGCGGGCCAACCCAAGCTAAGTGTGCCGAATACGAATTGAGTTATTTTGGGCCTATTTTGGTATGGACTTTTGGGCTCATTATTTGTCCGTATAAATGTGGGCTTGAGCTATGTACAGTGAGGTTAACCTTGATAAAGTATCAGCAAATGATAATCCTAATAAATATTTATATTCAGACAAAAAATAGTTATATTATATTATATGTTATTATATAATATATTCAGACAAAAAATAATTATATTATATATTATTATATAATATATTGTGGGGATATATTTTCTGAGAACCAACACGTGGCAAGGTGATGCCGACGTGTCAGCCGAGGTGCCACGTGTCCTGGTCGTGACGCCGAGGTGATCTCGGCAAGGCCGAGGTTATCTCCGAAGATATCGAAATCCGAGATAAGTGGATAAGGGACAAGAGTCCTATAATGAAAAGAGAACTCAACCTGGATGAGGGACAAGAGTCCTAGAATGAGAGAAGACTTCAGTTTGTATTAAGATAAGACTCTTAGAGAGTTTATCCTAATTTTACTGGAAGTCCAAGATTAGCAGTAATCCTGAGTCCATAAAAGTTAGGCTTCTATTGGGACTAGGTTTATGTTGGCTATAAAAGAGAGCACCCCCATGGGTCTAAGGTGTGCTTTTTATGCTTAAGCTTGTAAGTTTAGCACTTGATTATCCTTGAGAGATATACTGACTTGATCGTTGGAGTGTCCCCGGGTGGTTGAACCACCGCCGGAGACTTTTCTTTCTGTTGCAGGTTAGCTAGAGGCCATCTATTCTGCCAGTGCTTTTCCAGCTGATTACTAGGCGGGCAATGTGGTCAGAAAATCACTCACACGATTTGGCGTCGTCTGTGGGAAAGAAAGAATAATAGATGGCTAATAACGGACAGAAGGATCAGACTACAGACAACGCTCCTGATGGGAATGAGGGATCTATCAACCTCAACGTTGAAGGGAACAATAGCAACACAGAAACTCGTGACCAGAGTCACGGAGTGAAAGACACCGGCCAGGAAGGTGACGCATTGAAGACAACAGATTGAAACGGATACTACAACGAAGATGACCTCCAGGTATAGAAGAATAGATACTTGCGGAGGAACGAAGACCCTTCCAGAAGGGATGCAAAGACAGGGGGCATGAGCGCTCCTAAGGAAATAACATTCAAGTATAGAAGAACTCATCCTGAGTGAGCAGATCCCGGATTCCAGATCTTGGATTCCAGATCCGAGAAAACATGATCTTAGCTTAGACAAGTAGGCCCAAGAAGACGAGAGCTCAACCTAAATGAGCAGATCCCGGATCCGAGAAGACATGATTTCAGCCTAGACAAGTAGGCCCAAGAAGACGAGAGCTCAACTTAAGTGAGTAGATTTCGGATTCCAGATCCCCGATCCTAGAAGACATGATCTCGGCCTAGATGAGTAGGTCCGAGAAAAGAAGAGCTCAACCTGAGTGAGCAGATCCAAGATTCTAGCAAACAAGATCTCGGCACTTAAGTCCGAAAAGAGAAGAGCTCAGTGAGCAAATCTTAGATCCCAGAAGATAAAAAAGAAAACACACAAGGTCGGACTACAGTTAGCCAGGTTGAAGACCTTTTATAAGGTTCGCAAAGGAGTATGTGGAAGCCATGCAGGGGCAGAGAGAAAAAGAATATGTTTAACGCTTGTTGAAATTTGCAGCAATTTACAAGTTGAAGTTAAACTGAAGTAATGCTTAACGCTTGTTGAAATTTGTAGCAATTTACAAGTTGAAGTTAAACCGAAGTAATGCTTAACGCTTATTGAAATTTGTAGCAATTTACAAGTTGAAGTTAAGCCGATATAATTGTTTATCTCACTTGTTGAAATTTGTAACAATTTACAAGTTGAAGTTAAATCGAAGTGATGCTTCACACTTGTTGAAATTTATAGCAATTTACAAGTTGAAGTTAAGCCGATATATATTTTAACACTTGTGGAAATTTGTAACAATTTATAAGTAGATTATTGTTTAGCACTTGTTATAACTTAAGAAAAGTTTACAAAGATGAGATTAAACTAGTATATGTTTATCCTTGTTGAAATTTGTGAGCAATTTATAGGACAAGTACTTACCGAAGTAAAACGTTAGGTGGCATAACCGAGGTGTGTCACCCCGAGAAGATTGCACAAAGAAGGAAAAGTACATAAGATATGCAAAATATTCTAAGTATAGAATCATGCGAGAGCAGTTAGAAGAAGATCAAGACAGAATTCATGGTAATTGACACACCCTTGCCATACAATATCGTCTTGGGAAGGCCATGGTTGCATGCAATGGGGGCAGTTCCCTCAACATTGCACCAACTACGGCAGTTCCCAACAGAACATGGGATTGAAGAAGTCAGAGGGGATCAACTACAGGCGGAAAATTGCTCCATGACAACAATGAAACCCACCTGCAGCATTCGAGAACCAGAGAAGGCAAAGATTGAAAACAAGGACATAGAGGTCCTAGATGATGTCGGCAAGAAGCCAGCCGAGAAGAGTGAAGAGGCACTGAGGAAAATCCTCGTCCAGGAGGGGGATGAAGAACGCTTCTTTCTTCTTGGCTCAGGCTTAGCCGAAGAAGAAGAAAGAGAATTGGAAACTTTCTTGAGAGCAAACATTGAGGTGTTTGCTTGGACACCTTACGAAATGCCTGGCATTGACCCCGAGGTCACTTGCCACCAGCTGAACGTCGACAGGTCGGCTAAACCTGTAAATCCAACGAGTAAGAGGACCGACACGTCGAAGCAGTAAAGGAAGAAGTAGACAGACTTCTGGAGCCCAGGGCCATCCGGGAAGTCAATTACCCGACATGGCTATCAAATACAGTGGAAGAAGGAATGATAATCAAGGAGCAAGGAATGTTAACATCGGCCAACAGTAGACATTTTTCAGAAGCAAAAAAGGTTACATATGCAAAGAAAATAAAACTACTCGGCATCAATGGCAGGATATAGAAGACAATTGGGAAGACTTCTCAGCAGCCTTCTCGGCCTCGAGCTCAGCATCGATCTCCCAAAGAGTTTGATCAAGGCTCTTCTCGGCGATTGGCACCTCGGAGTTTGAAGGTAAGGATTGAAAACAAGAATCTGGAAAAAGACACAGAAAACAAAAATAAGAATGTAATTCGTAATCAAGAATGGCGATGAAGCTATCAAGAAATCAAGACAAAAAGATTGCACAAGTGTGTCAAGCCAAGAACAGTGGCAGAAATCAACAGATGTGTGAACAGTGTGTATTCAAGAAGATGATTTAGAAACAACGGGTAAAACAGTAATGGTGATTAACAATGAAGCAGAGCTTCTTGGAAAGCAACAAGAAATAAAACCAGGAGGAACAGTGGCTTACCAGAAAGAGGGAAGCCGGAATGAGAATTGCCGAAGTCTGACGACGGATGCGAAAATGACAGAATGACGTAAGCTTCACCGGAGGAGAGGAACGAAAACAGTTGCAGAGCTTGAAAGCTTAGAACAATGACGGATTTAAGCAAAAGAGCTAGAAAGAGAAAAAGCCAGAGGATTGAATGAAAAAAGAGAAAAATAGTCAAGAATACGACAAAGTTCAAGAATAAAGCCAAGTGCACAGGCACTAAGAAAGTATGTGAAGAACAAGAAAGTAATGACTTAGACACGATGCTAGCAACAGAAAGCGGATATGACAAGAACAGTGCCAGGCATTCAAACAATTCAAAACTTGAAGACAGACGAAAATAGAAGGCAAAAGATGGCAAGTAAACAGATTCAGAAGAATTATGAAAGATTGAGCTTAATAGCAAGTAAAGAGTTTATGAACCTACAAAGTGAAATGAACGTCGATATGAAAATCGCCGGAGTCAAATAGATGACTGGAAATCGGGAACTCACCAGAGAAGAACAGTTGCGAAGCTCTTGGAGTTTACGAATTAATGGAACAAGAACCTCGGCTAGGAGGTGTGATCTCGAGCAGCTTGGAAAGCATGAAGCTTGATACTTGACAGAAGTGGACAGTAAAGTACAGGGAACTTTGAGGTCGGCGAGTTTGATCTCGGACAGAGGGGCACAGATGAACAA